GCCATTTTGTAGGTTAATCATGAAACTTTTGGATGAACCTATGGCTACTACAAACTTGTTAATAGGCTGTTATTCCTCAGCTGCAGTGCAGCAAAGTCAGCAAAGTCAGTCCTTGTCATGCTTTGGAAGAAATGTCAATCAATTTCTCTTGTGAAAATGGCTACGTGATGTGGGAAAAATTCAAGGGTTTGAGACCCTTTAGCACAGTTAGGACTAAAGAATGCTGCATTCAAAGGTGGTTCTATTGGCTGGAGTTTCCTGGGTGAACAGTTGAGTGGTTCCTGGAGGCCTGTTGAAAAGTAACTCCAAAGAAAATTCCTAATCAGGTTAAAGTTGGTCGCTGTACCCTCTCGCCGCGCACCATTTGCTGATGGCGGGAGCCGGAATATGACGTCATATTCCGGCTCCCAGCTACAGCAGACAGCCCGCGCGGTGAGAGGAAGCAGACAGCACACAGCTCCCTCGCCGCTTGTTGTATGGAGATAGGCACCCGACCCACTGGACCCCAGGGACAAGTCCACGCCAGCTCTCCAGGTAGGGAGGCTGGGTGGACAATTTTTAATTAAAAAATAATAATTTGTGTATGTGTGTCTGTGAATGTATGTGTGTTTGTCTGTGAGTGTGTCTGTGAATGTATGTGTGTGTGTCTGTTAGTGTGTGTGTGAGTGTGAGTGTGTGTCTGTGAATGTATGTGTGTGTGCCTGTAAGTGTGTGTGTATGTGTGTCTGTGAATGTATGTGTGTGTTTGTGAGTGTATGTGTTTGTATGTGTGTGAATGTGTGTGTGAATGTGTGTCTGTAAGTGTGTGTGTCTGTGAATGTATGTGTGTGTGTGTCTGTGAGTGTATGTGACTGTAAGTGTGTGTGTGTATGTGTGTCTGTGAATGTATGTGTGTGTGTCTGTAAGTGTGTGTCTGAGTATGTGTGTGTACGTGTATATATATATATATATATATATATATATACACATGAGTGTATATTATTTTTTTGGGGGGTGGGAATCTTGGGAGAGTTTCCACACTTTATTCCCCAGGACTTGACCCCTGCCGGCAGGGGAGATCTCCGGATCTCCCCTGTCGGCTCATGCAGAGTTGGCGCTATCTGAGTGCCGGCTCTGCTCTAAGCCTCCATGGGCTCGCGGGGAGATCAAAGACAGAAGCTCCGACAGTTTCCTCTCGCGAGATCTGAGCGTTGCCGCGGCAATGCTCAGATCTTGCGAGAGTGAACTCTAGCCCCGCAGGCTAGAGTTCTCTCTCCCTTGGACAGCAAGGATCTCCCTCCCTACATAAGATAAAAGGGAGGGGGTTATTTACTAATCTGCCCCCACCTTCACAATCCCTCCAAACATACAGCACACACACAGCACCTACACACATACAGCATCCTAACACAAACAGCGCGCACACACAGCACCCTCACATACACAGCACACAAACAGCACCCTTACACACAGCAAACAAACAGCACCAACACACACAGCACACATACAGCACCCTCACACACAGAGCATCCTCACACACACAGCACACTAACAGCACCCTCACAAACACACACACACAGCACCCTTACAAACACACAACACCCTAACACACAGCACACTAACAGCACCCTCACAAACACACATACAGCACCCAAACGCAAACAGTGTGCACACACAGCACCCTCACATACACAGCACACATACAGCACCCTCACACACAGAGCATCCTCACACACACAGCACACTAACAGCACCCTCACAAACACACACACACAGCACCCTTACAAACACACAACACCCTAACACACAGCACACTAACAGCACCCTCACAAACACACATACAGCACCCAAACGCAAACAGTGTGCACACACAGCACCCTCACATACACAGCACACATACAGCACCCTCACACACAGAGCATCCTCACACACACAGCACACTAACAGCACCCTCACAAACACACACACACAGCACCCTTACAAACACACAACACCCTCACACACAGCACACTAACAGCACTCTCACAAACACACACAGCACCCTCACACAAACAGCACACTAACAGGACCCTAACACACATACACAAACACCTTCACACACACAGCACCCTCACACACAGCACACAAACAGCACCCTCACACACAGCACACTACCAGCACCCTTACCCACATAGCACACTACCAACACCCTCACACACACATCACACTAACTGCACCCTCAAACACACACACAGCACCCTCACACACACATCACACTAACTGCACCCTCAAACACACACACAGCACCCTTACACACAACAGCAGTATATGTATGTGTGTGTATGTATATATATATATATATATATATATATATACATGCGGCGTGTGTTTGTACTTTAGGGTGCACACCCTAATGCAATGGGCTGCTCATGCCTATGTCCAGGTTAACATACCTGCATTTTCTTGGTTCTCTCCCGGAGTCTCACCTCCTGGCTGTTCAGTAACTTTCCCCATACCTCATGTTGCTCATCACTTGCAGTGGATCAGGTACTCTAAACCTTTTTGAAATTACGTTTCTGTACTATTTAACCTTTTTCAGGGTTTTATTGTTAAACCTTGAACTTGAAGTGAACCTGTCATGATAAATATAGGTTTTTCAGTTTTCTGCCTTGACTCATGTTATACAATGAAGTGTTTCTTCCCTTAATACTATTGAAAGCTCATATTTTAATCTATTTCCATTACCCCTGTCTCCTGCTGAGAGCATCAGTTGATGTTTTCAGTGGGTGTTACATTTTATATTAGACACACTTCTTGTGCGTACCCCTGTTTGGGAAGCACATACTCGTTTCCCATAACAGGTTAAAAGTGTAAATTTGTGTAAATAACGCATATCTGTTCTCTCTATCTCCATTCTCAGATTGTTCATTCAAAGCTGCTGCTATAAGTCATTCTGGCTCTTTGTCTCCATTCTGCTCTCACACAGAGCCTGCCCCTCTCCGTTCTTCCCCAAGCATTGCTTTCCTTAAAGCAGGAGAGTTGTCCAGATGAGTGGTTCCCTGAAAACAGACATGCAGAGCACAACCTTCATATCTCTGGGCACTGGACCTGCACAGCCTGAATTGACTGAGAAAAGAGGGAAAGAGCTGTATTTTTAACTCTGATTTTAAAGAAATCTAAACTTTTGCTAGCAAGTCTGCAAGCACAATGTATAGATCAGATGTGATTCTCTACCATTTCAATTTATATTTGTCATGACTGGTACCTTTAATGCCAGGCTGCTATGATTGCATATCAAGGTGTTGTTTTTGATTGCATACTATATATCTATACCTACTCCTTGGTTGTTAATAACATTTTAAATAACAACAAAATATGAGTAAAATAATTCTCATAGTGAACAGATTTATATAGAGAAAGACTGCCTTTTCTCACCTTTTCCACCATTTAATTTTTACTGTCTGTATATGTTCAAAAATGTCAACACAAAACTCATTCTCATACTACAATATATTCCGTTTTAGGCACATTTACGTTTTGTGTTGTAGTGGGAGGTGGAGGGGAGAACAGTGTGAGATCACAGGCAAAATCCTGTCTTTATTCAAGCTCATTCTTTCATGGATTAGCAAATCACAGTGAATCAGTCATGTTTTTACATTTTTTTTATAGGATAAAATAATGCATCTGATTCCGTTATTCTGCCTCCATGTTGTGTTCACTTTTCCTTTTAGTGCATTCCATTTTAAAGTGACTCTAAATTTGTGATTCCTTAAAAAAACAGGATTGTTTCTTCGTCTATCAGAATGTTAATTGGCTGTTCCAGCTGCGTAACCCGATTAAAAGCCGAGGTCATTTTTAGGCCAGCCAAAATCCAAGTCACACATTGAGATGTTGGAAATGTAGAATGGTTTAAAGAGAATCAAACAGCAACAAAAAAATAAAATTAACAAAACAAAATAAAAAAAGGTTTTTTTTTCTGCTAACTTTCAGAAAAACTGTAACTAAAGTTTTCTTATGAATTACCTACAATTACGAGATGAATAAATCTCAAATAGTTATAAGTACAAGAAGACAGTATTTCTATTGTAAAGTAGTAGAAAATATGCATTGTACACAAGTAGGAAATCAATTTATGATAAGCAATTCATTATATAGAAGTAAAAAATATATTACATTTGATCAGTATATGTCAGAGACCACATTATGTCAATGTTTTGAGGAAAGGAAGGCAACGGTCCAAGATTTGGTACCAATCACAATGTAACGGAAAGGAACATTCAGATACACCAAGTATTATATTCCATCCTTTGCTTCAGGCTGTTAAAAATTTATGAAAACACACAATTGCAGTAGATGCACTTAAATAATATATAACATTGATAAACACTATTAACCTCCGCTGCTCACAAAATAAAGGATTTTTTTAAAATAAAAAACAAAACAAAAAAAAAACAAGCTTGCATTCTACTATTATCCTAGATGATTAATAATATAAATCCAAAATAGTTTTCTATATATATTTCCTGTGTATTTCTTGTCTTGTATCATTTCAGTTTATATCAAACAATGATTGAAAGAGTGGATTTTGATGAAAAACAGGATAATTGGGAAAAAGAGGCTGGCAGGTGAAAAAGCGCCTGAGAAATCGTAACTCATTTGAATCAGGTAGATGTCAAGGATAATGGGAGAATCAGGTATATTTTATTAGGTTTGTTTTGTTTTTTAAACACCTAATCTAGGCAAAAAATAATGGAGGTTTATTTACAGTATATGATCATATGATCATATAATACTCTACACTCCTAGTAATACCAGCCTCATTTTAAATTATAAACCACAAGCTTGGTTCATGCGTCTAAGCGTTAGAAGATTAAAACATTGACAGTCTTAGGTGCAGGATTAAACTCAAGATACATCAGTAGGTAAGTGTAGCTGTAAGGTCGGTTAAGGGTAGCTGACAATATTGAAAATAGTGGCGGTGTGGTTAAAGCTACTACCTCTTAATGTTGCACACAGGACAGTAATGAAAGTAATAGGACAAAGGCAACACTCCAGGATCCAGAAGGTAAATTTATTTCTGGGTTCACCACCTCATAAAGTGCAACGTTTCGGCTCAACAGAGCCTTAATCATGCACGGAGCACTTCCACGACGGAGGGCCGGAAATTTCAGGTGGAACCTGTGTGCAGGGATTCCCGTTTTTGTAGTAATGAAAGTAATGGCCACTGTACAGTGTCATACTTTCAACCCCTATTCTAAGAGGATACATAAACGGGATTTCTGTAGCACTCTACAATTCCATACAGCAATCTGCATGTTTGATTCAAATATTAAACTCCATTTAAGAAAAAAAAACATGAATATAGATATTTATAAATTGGTAGTTGACAGCAGTTTCATTCCTGTCACATCCTGACTTAAACTACCACCAGTGCCAAGTTACATATCCCATAAATTACTGCTGGGAAAGGGTTTATGATGTCTCCCAATGCATGTAATGAGAATTCTTTTAGCCACTTCCTGTTCTTGGCAGTGCTTACTGCATCAGATGCAGGAAATTCAAAGGTGAGTATGTTTTTAAACGTTTAGATTTTATTTATTTTCCACATTTTAATAAATTATCTATGAAATGCATTCAACATGGATTTTCATTCTGCCTATTGTGTACACATTTAGATTTAGAATATATCTGTTAAACAAGCACAGAAAATCTTTAAACAGAAAGTATATTTTAATGTTGTCCTGCAAATCTGGCTTGGTTGGCCTTCACTCGAGCCTGCTGGACAGCCTTAGTTGTAAATATATATACATTTGTTTATTCCATGATTTCCAGCAATAAAGTGCAGATCATTTTTCTTTTGTTGGAAGCGATGGAATACCGAAGTGATTATTTAAAGTCCCGGAGTGCTGGTTGTGTGCTAGATTACATTCCACTGTAGGAGAGCACTCGGGTGTCTTTGTAAAAAAATAAACATCTAGTCAGTAATCCAGAACATGAACAAGTATCAGCATTTTGGTCATAAGCAGGGACTGACTGTTTGACTGAAATGCTGACCTTTACTTTATGTGAATAAAGATTATATGCGTCTGATAAACAAAAGTGCACTGACATTTTTGCACTGTGGCAAAGTTGTTATTTTTGGAGACATTTAGTGCATCACACCTGGATCATATATGTATATATATATCTTTGCTTTGGTGTTACTCTGACCCATATACAATACTGCAAAAAAAGAGAGCGCTCGCTGAACTTTTAAGTATATATAATGTATCCTTTGTCTACTACATTTAAACATATCGACAATTAAATATCAGTGTTTCAGTCCAAAAGGGTTTTTCTCAAGACATGGTTCACCAAGACAAACATACTTAAGAAGAACACCTCCCCTGAAAATGAGGGTGAATCTACACCAGAACATGGTGAGTGTTTGCGAATATGTGTTGCCTCTTGTGTACTGGGTTTCCATTATTGTTGCCAGGCAACCAGCCAACTAACTCACCAAGTTCACTTCCTATGAGCAGAATGCTAAGAAGATTCCCCTCCTGTGCAACTTGGTTAATGACTGGTTAGCAAACAGTCAATTTTGGGGTCACGAGCTGAAAGGAAAAAAAAAAAAGAGGAGGATTTATTCATTGTAAGCTAAGAGGAGAACTTATTCATTGTAAGCTAATTAATATTCTTACAGAGTTATTGATAGTATTTATAAACAAGGCCCATAAGGTAAAGTGCTATATCTTTACAATAACTTTAAAATGAGAACAACTAGATGGAAACTATAAGTAAAATAACATAAAGCCATGTAAATATGTATAATAATTATAATATATAATACAACAAATAATTACATGTTTGCTTAAAGGATCACTATAGGGCCAGGAACACAAACATGTATTCCTGACCATAGTGTTAAAACCACCATCTAGCCCCCCTGGTCCCATGATGCCTCCATAGATATAGTAAAATCTTACTGTATTCAAGCCAGAAGCTGTAACTCTGCATGCTGTTTGCCTAAAAAAACAACAACAGTCTGCTGACATCATCAGAAGTGGTAGTCTGATCCAATCACAATGCTTCCCCATAGGATTGGCTGAGACTGACAAGGAGGCAGATCAGGGGCAGAGCCAGCATGATTCAAACACAGCCCTGGCCAATCAGCATCTCCTCATAGAGATGAATTGAATCAATGAATCTCTATGAGGAAAGTTCAGTGTCTGCATGCAGAGGGAGGAGATACTGAATGTTTGGATGCATTTTAGGCAGCCATGACCCAGGAAGGATCTCTAACAGCCATCTGAGGAGTGGCCAGTGAAGTTATCACTAGGCTCTAATGTAAACACTGCATTTTCTCTGAAAAGACAGTGTTTACAGCAAAAAGCATGAAGGTAATGATTCTACTCACCAGAACAAATTCAATAAGCTGTAGTTGTTCTGGTGACTATAGTGTCCCTTTAAGTTTCTTTTTTTTTTTTTACTGGACGGTCTATAACGAAATAGAAATGTTACGTTTTTAAACTATCGTTTTGTATCACAATCATCTGTTGCATGCTGTGATGTTTTCCAGAATCAATTACATTCTAGTGCTCATGCAAATTAGTTTTTCCTACAAAGATAATATAACTAGCTTTAAATACAATTAATCCTGAACATCTCAGACATAACATGTCAATGGGCGTTTATACCGCATTGTCAAGAAAATGTTATATCAGCAACTGAGTAAATTAAAATAAAGATTTTCTGTCTGAAGGTTGGAATTGAGAAGAAAAGAGAAAAGATAAAATACAGAAATGTCTATACAGATAATAAAAGTGTCCATCCAAAAGATAATTGTTCTTGAAGTTAATGGTATTATGTTTTCACATATTGTTGTTTCCGCTAAAGATGTCTTGCTGGCAGAGCGAGATGGAATATTTATTTACCTTTTTATATTTCACATTTTGAATAATAAAGCTTTCAAAATATTTCTATTACTTTTTTTTTTTTTTTTACGATTTGCTAATCTTGGCTCAATCTGTTTTTCTGCCAGCATTTAAAAGACTGAGTGAATTGGCACTTTCCTTCTAATAACACCGACTCCATTGTGTGACCGTTAAATGGTCATTGTGAAGCCAACAAAATGAGTAGAGTTGGGAGCTTAATGACATCATCTCACATTTTCCCCATTTTTTGTCACATTGTTCATTATTCTACCACTGAAGTGACTTGTTTATTCAGTTTACAATGACATCTGCTACTGAGGAATTTCTCTGGAGAGCATTGGTACAAAACGAACTGAAATTCTAACTTAATTGAAAGAGAAAAGTAAGATTTTTAAAATTTGACTCTTTACTTTAAAATGATAAAGTATTTTAGGATTGCTGAGAAAGAGTCCAAAGGCTGACTTCAGAGCTAACAAAACTGGTGAAATCTTTACTGGCCTCTCAGCTAAACAACTGATTATGTCTTAGACAGTGCTACAGTAGTACTCTAAAGTCTTTTATAATAACCTTTTTTGTTTTGATTTCCCCTCCTTCTTTTCCATCTGTAACCCCACGAGAATAGTGTGAGAAATACAGTTTACCCTCCCACACAGGGTCCCTGTTCTTTGAGGAAGGTGCAACAAATAAAACACACGGACAAGTGTAATAAAAGAAATGTATTAGGTGTAAAGATAATAAATTCACTGATAATACACTAGGTTTAATAAAAAGGTATTAAACATAGAAACATCAACAATTGATAAAATACAAGTCACAGTGTATCACAGAAGTATGGAATAATCACAACACTTGCCACAAGTACAATATCTCAAATAGCAATTGTGACAAACTGAACCTCGTCATGGGTTCTTGGAGGGGCCTGCTGGCCAGCCTCTTGCCTCAGGACTACGGGCCCTGCATACACCTTGACCAATGCACTTGGAAATGCTCTGTTCATGTGAGTTATGTCATTTTGTACTCCAGACAGAGAGACCCACCATTAGCCCTGATTCCCTGGAACTGTTTTGGGCATAGGACTATGTGCACGGTCGGTCACAAATAAGACTCCCAGGAAATTCCTGAACCCCTGAACTGATCTGGGTGATTTTTGGATATGTTGGTCACCCAGATCAGGGCTATCAGGGAATGTACCATTTGTGGGGTTTTATGTATTTTTAGGGTACTTTTGGGGTGTTTGAAAAAAGTATGTTTTTCCTGTGCTTGGAAATAATTGGATTAGAATTAGTACTGTTACTGATCCAATTATCTCCCAAGCAGAGGGGAGGGATTGTGTGCTGTGTGTGGGAGTGTCACGCCTTGTAATCTTATTGTTATTGGTCTGTGAATTAGTTCCCTACAAGGTCCTTGTGGGCGTACCCCTTGCATGGGGATTGTCATATAAGGCAAGTCTTGGCTCATGTTTGGGGGATTGGAGAGCTATATTCACTCTTGGGATTGCTATAATAACAATACTCCCCTGAGTATAATCACCAGCTCTTATAAGAGCTGTTCCTGCTCCGCTCTCTGGACTAGGGGAGGTCTACCCACTGGAAGCTGGATCCTGGCCTTGAGTCCAGGGTGGGTGGAGGACAGCAAGATCCCAACCAAGCTGCGGTTCATAGGGTTTACGGTAGCTATGGTGCTCGCAAGTACTAGGAAGCAGCAATTGACGGAGGTACCCAGTCGGGGTGCGAGACGGTCCATCACAGCAATCAATTAAAGCAACCCCAATGAATACATTGATTAATCACTTGCATCAGAATAATAAACAGTTCACTATACCAGCTACAAAACAAAGACCAGTCATAGACATATAGCACTCAGCAGTAAATGCATGAACTATCTGCTCTATAGTCTAATACACAGCAAATATAGTGAGGTCATATAGCACCACAACTATCACAGGAATCAACCAAATATCACAGTCAAATATAGTTACCAACTGAGTGTAGATCTGTATATTTATGTCTCCCCTGGACCTCTGCTTGGTAGTCACTCATTGAAGTTCCTACCAGAACTGCCCTGCCATTTTGGGCCTACATTTTTACAGCTTTTCTCTATGAAGTTTTTCACTCCATTTACCCATATCTTCACTCCATCTACCTAAATTATCTTTGGGGCATGTTATGGATTTGGAAGGATCAAAAGCTCCGCACTAAAATCTTTATTTCTTGTTTTCTGTAAGTGGTCCACAATGGAAGTAAACAGCTATTTACCATTTAAATACAAGTTGGGAAAAATTCATAAACACCCTATTGATAACAAGATATGAGATAAACTCAAGATACTAACTTATAGATTGTGAAAAACTTGTCCCATATCCTATTCTAAGGTATGCTTTGTTAACAGTTCGATAAAGGGCCTTTGATTTTGGAATTGATAACCCCAACTGTCCCATCTAAATTAACAGTTAGATCAAAGACTCTTTGTCCTGGAAATTACACCTTGTTTTTCCTGATTTGTCAGGAATAAGTCAGGAATCACACTGTGATGTAATGAGTAGGTTAGTTGTCATGTAGCGAGTAGGTTAGTTGTCATGTAGCGAGTAGGTTGCATACTTGTGTAACCACTTTTTTCTATTGGATGTGATGTTTGCTCACAGAAACTGGGGCCAGGGTCATAGGTACTAATAGGGTTTTCTGAACTGGGAGTGGTGATTAACCCTCAATAATTCCATTCATGAATAGGCAGTTACTAATTGGCTTAAAGCATCAGCTGGCCAATCAACAATGCCTCTGCCCTGTGGCAGTGCATGCTTCCTACAGCTGATTTACAGATAGCAAATGTCAATAGGGACAGTGAGAAACAGTGCTGGAGAGTCACTTTTGGGGTAAAACCATTATGAACAGTTTACTCCATATGGTTAAAGGAGTGTCAGGGATCTCCTGGCACTATAACAACTTTATTTTGATAAAGGTGTTATTGTGCCATTCATGTGCCTTTAAAGAGACATTCAATTACCCAGAAACAAAATAAATAAAAATCACTGTTTAATAGATATACCTAAAATAAAAACTTTTTTGAATTTATTATATATATATATATATATATATATTTTTTTTTTTGGGGGGGGTACTTAAAACAGCTTGCAAACCCTAGATGTTTTGGACTACATCTCCCATAATGCTCTCACACCCATAATGTTGGCAAAGCATCATGGGAGGTGTAGTCCAAAACATCTGGAGTGCCAAAGGTTGCCTATGCCTGCCCTAGAGTTCTCATATCTGCAGCCTTTGCAAACCCTCCCATGCTAACCCCACCAAGACTTTCGGTGGCTGTCCAATCACAGAATTCCCATTGCACCTCAATGAGAAGTCTTTGCAAGGCAGGTGCTCTGAGCAATTCCTGCCTCTTGAGTTTAGCTCCACTGAGCTAAAGAAACCAGGAAGTAAAAGGACATGTCTGCTTAAAAGGCAGGGGAGCGTAACCAGGTTAATTTATAAAAGTGTTAATTTCTGTTGAAAACTGCACATTTTGCAAGGTAAAAAAAGAGGACACACTTTTCACACATAAAGCTTTTTAGCAAGTTGAAGCACTTTAGGGATCTGGAGTGCCCCTTTAAGTAGACAAGTGGGCAAGTGGATAAGGAGACTAGCCCCACAGCTCCTCCTTATGCCATATAGTCAGATCATATATATTGTTTACCATGTTTCTACCCTATATATTGATATCCAAGACCCATGAATGCTTCCCTACTCAACCGAGGCAGCTATGTCTACCCTCATCTAGAGAGTTTGGCCTATAATTAGAAGAATACTAACATATTAGGTATCTATCAATTAAGAGTAAAATTGTGCTACATATGATGTTATTCTTTGCATATTTTATGGTTTTATGTTAGTGAAGTAATACTGACTGCAACTCTGATCTGACTCATTAATCAGCCAATCTCTTTTTTTCAGCTTTGAAAGGGTCATAGTAATCTATAGAGGCTCTTGTAGAAACATAGTACAATGCCAAGTCCATTCTTTGTGTAACAAAAATAAATAGAGTTATTATTCATGAAATAACAGACAGAATGGAGCCATCCTTGAACTGCAACTCACAAGGGATAATTGTAACTAAAACTGACATGGTAAAGTATGCAGCACCCTAATAAATAAAGAATAAGTACATGAGCTTCCGAGAGGAAACTCCTAAATTCGTTCTTATTTAACTAATGTGGGAAATTAAGCTTTGTTACAAAAAATGCATCCAGTTTAGAAAAGACGATCACACGTCCATCATCCAAGAAATATCATACGTTGTCGGATATTGTTGAAGTGCAATCTGATGTGGCTGACATATAGAATAAAAATGTCTTTGATTAATGTCCGAGGTTTTTTCAAGCATTGTTACTGCTGAGAGTGAACTTGGCTTACCATCTGTGCATGCTAATGAGCTGGACTGTATCTTTGCTCATTATAAAACAAGAACATTAATTAAGCATTCTGCAAGGAAAATGTAGTTACATTTAAAAAAAAAAAAAATAAGATAACAGCATGCAAGCTTTTTAAAATTTTGTTTGATTTAGTTTTATACTTACTCTCATTACTTTACATTGCATTTTTTTAACATCAATAATTGACTGTGAACTCTATGTTAATCTCTAATTAGCAGATAAAGTTCCTTTTATACATATAACAACAATTAAGCACTTTGATTTAAATACAGACTGCTCCACGCTGTCCTACCGCCCAAGCAGGCCAAAGGACTGGCTCTAGATAGCCTAATCCGTCTACCGGGACGCCCACGCAATAACCCGCAAGAGATGTAATAATAATGAGCTTTAATCCCATTCAGATAAAGAAAGC